TTCAAGAATTAAACATATATAAATGGAGGCCACGCGTATTTCCACGTATCCCGCCTGTGAATTCTCTTCTTCTTTTTCTCTCTCTTGTTTGCATCTTTTATGGAAATTCTATGCAGCGGATGAGTCATTATATTTAATTATTGGAGGAGGATAAACTTGAACTTATAGGAATTTCAATATTTTTTTAAGATAAACGTGTATACATTTATCCGAAAATCAGTAATTATAACTGTGACGGTCCTCAAACAGCCATTGATATAAAAAAACAAGACTTAAACACCAACCCACCTAATACCTATACCACCCCAAGATTAATCCAACTATCCCTATTTACAAGTATACCCCACAATCTGCATCTAACAACATCCTTAATGCACCTTACCAGCTTATGCCCCTGGACCTGTTTCCTCTTAAACAGGCGAGAGTTCCTCTCCCTCCAAATAGCGTATATAAAAGAATTCCAAACAAGCTTCGTGATCATGTAAGAAGGGATTTCCCCTTAAGCACCCTAATAGCCCAACCAGGCTCCTCACGCCAGCCAACCACATCCCTCCGGATCACACACAGCTCTAAAACATCATACCAAACTCCTTTAGAGAAACCACAACAACAACAAAATGTGATCTCCATATTCAAGCTCACCACCACAAAGCACGCACTGTTCCTCCACCTTGCTACGAGGGATATATAGGTTACGAGCGTTTGGTTTATAGGTGGAGGAACATGAAAAGTATACCAGACCAAACGGTGCCAAATCACCGAATTTCAATATTATTTAATCGCTAATACACTAGAATTGCTGAGTAAACTAATTTTGAAATTTGAAGTAAATCATAAAAACATTCAGCTCCAATCTATATTTTGTTTCTAAATCGGATTGGCGCTATTGTAATAGATATGCCTAAACAAGCACTAACTTGATTAGGCATGGTTATACTCAAAAGCCAACCGTATTCTTTTTGTCACATTAGTTTCATTGTTTAAATGAATTAAGTAATATTACACAGTTTTATCTAAGATTTAGATCACACTTTCTCATAAAAACCTACTCTTTTTATGATAAATTTATTTAACAAAATGTAAATTTATTATAACAACTACGAGATGAGTATGAGTCGAGTTAGATCAAGTTTTCAATCAATTTGAATTTGATTAGCATAATGTCAAAAATAGCTCCTAATGTTTTTCAAAATGTTCATTTTGGTCCCTATTCTTATTTTGTTGCATTTTGGCCCCCCAACGTTTCACTTTGGGGGGGGAAAGCCCCTTCTATAGATAGAAACATTAGTTAACACACGATTAACACTCCGAAATTAGAGTATTTGTTTAACCTAAAATGAAACGTTGATGACTAAAATGCTCAAGAACAAAATAAGGACTAAAGTGATTATTTTATTGAATGTTAGGGGCTTTTTTGCCATAAAATGAAACACTGGGTGCCACAATTCTCCAAAAAAATAGAATAGGGGCTAAGATGATCATTTTGATAAACGTTAATGACTAATTTTGATATTATACCAATTTGATTCGAGTGTTATACCCTTTCACTTGTTATTTGACCTAACCCAAATTTAGGAAGGCTCCACCTAACATGATTTTTAGAACAAAATATTTTAATTTTTAGAACAATAAATTTTATTTGGTTTAACGTGAGCTATATATATATAGATATATAACTTTTTTATTAGATAAAATATGAACCTAATTATAGTTATTCTTAAATAAATAAGGGGTAATTATATTATAATAGTTAGGTGGGTCGAATCGAAATTATTTTATGTTAAAGTCAATCTCGACCCGACTCAATTCTATTATTAAAATTTTAATCAAACTCAGCCTAATTTGATTTTTTTTAAATTTATCTTATAATATTAGATCATATCAAAAATCATTAGATCCAAATCTCATATCTATGGCTAATTACAACTACATACAATTTAATGCATTTTTGCATGACTCTAATTCTGCTAAACTAGATGTAATGAATTGAACTCAATTTTTTTAAAATTGTTAAAATTTAATCTTATATTAATTTTTCATTATTTACAACTAAACTAAAAATACGCTTTATTGAGTTTTTTTTATACAATCTCTATTAAGTTGTCTAGTCCAAATTAATATTTAAAAATTTAAGTATATTTGACCATATATCTTTTTAAATAGTATAATAATAATAATAATAATAATATCAATCAAGCTAAAATTTAATTGATTATTTTTGTTAATTTAAATATTAAATAATATAAAAATACAAGCAAATGCATAGCATCCACCATTATAGATGGCATAATTATTACATTGACGTAATTAAAATTAAACTAGATGTAAGAGGCTGAGGCATCAACAAAATCATTAACACAGCTAAGCAGTATTTTTTATAAAGAAGTAACTTCTGAATATTCTCTCAATCATAATGAATGTTCAATCACTCTTATAGCCATCGATTCTCAAACACGTAATATTTAAGAATAATAACAATTATTTTAACCATTAAAATATATTAGTTCGTTCTAATTATACTGTTAAAAAAAGCAAATTAAAAGATGTCACCTCAAGCAGTAGTAAATGTGGCGTGGGCTAAACAACTCCACTCAGCTAAAACAAATATAAAGGAGTAGTTACCATTCAGCCACATTGCTTTATGAAATAATTGATGAGTCTACTATAATTTTGTTCAATATATATGTATAGCATATTTTCTTGAAATGAGCATGGACGGAGCCAGAATTAAATTATGAGAGTGTAAACAAGAATTTAAACAGTGGTTTGTTATTTACGGTTATTATATAGCGGTAACGATATAATCTGAAATTATTATTGTGCGATCATGATACCTTAATAGCATCCACTATTGTCATAGAAAAATAATTCTACTAATTTAAATTCTTGGATAAATTGTTTAATTTTAAAATAAATAGGATATTAAAAGTAATTAAATCATAGAAAAATAAGAGAGTGAGGGTTTAATTCTACTAATTTTAAAATTTAAATGTCTTAAAAAATAATTAAATCATATAAATTTTGAGTCAAACTTAATTATATTAATTTTAAAATTGATAGTATCCCAAAAATAATTATATCAAGAAATTAGGTGGCAAGGATTTATTGTAATAGTTTTAAAAGTTCAATGGCCTAAAATGTAGTTAACCCGTCAATGGGGGGAGCTGCCCCTCCCATATATAAAGTAGCTTCGTCCCTGGAAACGGGTAATGGGAGGATGAATGATGCATGAGAACGCACTCAAATTTACCGATTGATTTGTTCGGTAAGCAATTTGATATCGTTTAAATAAGTCTCGAGTTCATATCCTTGTGCATATAGAAAATTTTCACTAAAAGACTCATCAATATACAACCCAGACTGATTCTGATTAATCAAGATAACACTTTAAAAATCAGAAATGCAAAAAAAATAACGCACTCAAATTTCGCTTTCTCTTCCTATACTGTTTTTATTTATTTATAATGCTTTCCCTTCCAATTGGGGAGGCAACAAGCATTAATGATTTAGGGTGTTGAAATGATGGTTCAAAATTTAGTGTTTGAGAGGGAAGTCGCCAAAATATATATAAATAATGGAGGTTGAGAGGTGAATAATGTAAGTTTCTCTCTCGATTGTCCACTCATGTTTTGCACATTGTCACCATGTGAAGCAGGTGAAGCCTTGTGCCATCGATAACTGAGGGAGGTTTCATTTGGAAAATGTTTATGTGGAGTTAAATAAAATCACATCTTTAAAGTTAAGGATAATCGTTAACATATAAAGAAATTGACATGCATAAACCTAAACTTTGTGGATAGACAACCTCCGTCTTCCCTCCCCCTTTTGTTACCATCCCCAGAAAAGCTTCGAGCTTTTAACATCTCATTCAACGGTGATTAGCTAAACGAATCCTCCCCGAACAAGCAATTTGATGTTTTGGAAGATATACCAAATCATTCACTTCTCTTTTATCTTTGATTAAACATATATTGAGACATGTAAGGAGACACGATGAGGTTGGATTCTTGACAACTGACAAAAACAAAGCAGAAACTTATTAAATACATCAAACATCATTGGGGGTTATGTAATCCTCTTTCTATGACCTCGTTCGTTATAACGAAATTAATTTGTATTCAAATTATTAAATAAGTGAATGAAAATATCTGTAATCAAGTTTTTAAAAAAAAAGATATTCAAACATATATATTTTATTAAAATTTTAACAAAATCGTGAAGCATGCAATGTGCATGAACAATCTCTCAATATTAAAATTTTAATATAGACATCTCCGATCCGAATCTCATGACTGCCATTTTACAAGATGAACACACAATTTTATATTAGGGGCGAACTTAAACTTGGAGGAAAACAGATTTTCAATAGAAAATATATAAAAAAAATCTAAAATATATGATAATTTTAAATTTTTAGGGAGAGCAAATACCCCCAACCGGTCCCTCGATCCATCCCTATATAAGATTAGAAGAAAAAAAGGGCAAACATCCAGCTCCCTGGATTGTCATATTGATTTTACGTACATATGTAAATAATATATTATTACTTTTATGATAATTACTTAATTGTAAATTAAAATACATTAGTTGTTAATTAGTGATTCTGATTTAAAATAGTAATGAAAATATAAAAAAGGAAAGGATCGTCCAACGATCAAAATGAAAATTTGGTGTCAAATAAAATTTATTTTAATAAAAAATAATTACTTGATTAGTTTTTAATACATTTAATTTACGAAGCGATTTATCCGAATCAATTTTTTAAAACAAATTAGCTAAATTAGCACGATACAAGTTAATGAAAGATTAAATGGTTGTAATTATGGAGAGTACTATTTGGATAGACTTGGTTGTGAAAATTTTGAGCCATAAATCTACAACAACGTTGACCATCAAGAAGACTTTATCCGAAGCTGTTTTTGTGAAATTGCCGTTTACTCTACACCGTTTTGGCACTTTTTGGATGACTGGTGTGTATATATAAACGCAACGCTCTTTTCCCTTATCACACCACCACTCTCTCATCGTTGCTAGGCATGACGAATCCCATCCAGCACCAGGCGGTGAATTTCGCGGCCCCCAGAGGGTTTGCCGCTGCCCTGAAAGCCGATTGCAAAGAAACATTCTTCCCCGATGACCCCTTCCATAAGTCGAAACATGAAAAGCCTTTAAGCAAACTCAAGAAAACAATCCAATACTTCATCCCCTTGTTTGAATGGTTACCCAACTATAATCTACGTCTGTTCAGATACGATTTACTCGCCGGTATCACCATTACCGCCCTTGCAATCCCTCAAGGCATTAGCTACGCCAAACTCGCTAATATTCCTCCAATCTACGGCCTCTGTTAGTATTTTTAATTTTCAGTTTCTTTATAAAACCGCTTTGTTCAAATGTTTCTGAGAAGAAGAAAAACGTGTTGGATCGATGCTTATGTAATGCAGATTCGAGCTTTATACCGCCTTTTGTTTACGCCATTTTCGGGAGTTCAAAGCATCTTGCAGTGGGAACAGTGGCGGCATGTTCACTGCTTTTATCTGAAACCATTGGAGCCAAAGCATCACCGAAAGATAATCCCACATTGTATCTTCACTTGATTTTCACATCCACTTTCTTCACCGGGGTTTTCCAGACTGCTTTAGGCTTTCTGAGGTTAACACATGATAAGTCCATAACCATTCATCAATACTAGTTGATTTCGTTCTTTCAATTTTTCATTTTGTTGGGTTTTCAGGCTGGGAATTTTGGTTGATTTCTTATCACATTCTACCATCACTGGTTTCATGGGAGGGACGGCTATAATAATCTGCCTCCAACAACTGAAAGGCATATTTGGTGTAAAACATTTCACCACTCACACCGATGTTGTGTCCGTTCTTCAAGCAGTTTTTCGTCACAGGGACGAGGTTGGTGATCTTGGATAACATTAGTTTCAGCGATATTAAATTCTATTAAGTAGGCCATTAATTACACCATTAATGCTTGAAAATTCTAATAAATTTTGAACTGATATTTGAGAGAGCAGTGGAGGTGGCAAAGTGCTGTGGTTGGTATCATCTTCCTTGTTTTCCTCCAATTCACTCGATACGTGGTGAGCTTGCCCATTCCCATTAAGGAAAGAAGTGATGATTTTTTTAATCTTTATATTGACTTATATATAATCATCGTTATCATCTGATGTAATACTGAGTCAGAAAATAAATCAAATATCAAAGATTGTGATGCAATTATAGTATGAAGAATACCATATGATGATCAATTACCATATGTGAATTCACAAAGATAATTGAATCATTTATATAAAAAAAAATTAGCCATATTAATTCAGAAAACAACTCCCTCGCTTCTTTAGCTCTCTGCCCGTTAGTAAAGATGTTGCCATGTATTTCCAGAGACAAAAAAGGCCAACACTATTTTGGGTGTCAGCTATTGGTCCAATGGTGGTTGTCGTGGTTGGTTGTCTTTTTGCATTTTTTGCCCATGCAGAGAAACATGGAATCGACATCGTAAGTTCGTCTTTTAATCACTTCTACTACTAAATTTACAAACTCTTTTTGATTATTTTCTTTTTTTTCAAACCACAGATTGATCTTTACGGGAAATTAACCTTTGTTTATTGGGGTATCAGGTTGGTGACTTGAAGAAGGGATTGAATCCTCCCTCAATTCAATATCTGAACTTCGATCGCCAATACCTTCCCGTAACTGTGCGTGCCGGTATTGTCACTGGTCTTATTGCAATGACTGTAAGAATCCCAACCATTTCATCATTCAATATATATATATATATATATATATATATATATATATATATATATATATATTTATATAAGCTGTGAAAACCAGATAATTGAATCATCATTAAAATGAAACTTGCAGGAAGGGATAGCAATAGGACGAAGCTTTGCCATAATGAAAAATGAACAAACTGATGGGAACAAGGAAATGATAGCCTTTGGTTTCATGAACATTATTGGATCTTTCACTTCATGCTACTTGACAACGGGTATGTTTAAGTTTAACTTATTTCAGGTTTTTTTTTAAAAAAAAAAACTATTTGTGAATGAATTATATAAGGACATTCTGATGTTTTTTGATGTTTGAACTGGCAGGGCCGTTCTCGAAAACAGCAGTGAATTTCAAAGCCGGGTGCAGGACGGCAATGTCAAATGTCATAATGGGGCTTTGCATGATGCTGACACTCCTTTTCTTGGCTCCTCTCTTCAGTTACACTCCTCTCGTTGCTCTATCCGCCATTATCATGTCTGCAATGCTTGGACTGATCAATTACAAGGAGATGATTCACCTCTTGAAAGTAGATAAATTCGACTTCGTCATCTGCATGGCTGCTTTCCTAGGTGTCAGCTTCATTAGCATGGATATCGGCCTCATGCTTTCCGTAAGATATTCTTCCACTAACTAGTACTGTATGCTTCTTGTTTCTGAAACCGAGTCAGCCAGTGTATTGTATCATTTCATCGCAGGTGGGACTTGCGTTACTCAGAGCACTATTGTATGTGGCAAGGCCTGCTGCTTGTAAGCTTGGAAAAATCCCAAACTCCAGCTTATATCGTGACACACAACAGTACCATGGCTCAACTCCAATACCAGGAATCCTTGTTCTTCAACTTGGTTCCCCTATTTATTTTGCAAACTCCACCTACATAAGAGAAAGGTTTTCATATATTTTATTTATTTATCATCTTTGTACAATAATAAATACAAGATATAATTAGAACCCTGGTAAACATGGCCATCAATCATGGTAATTTCTATTTTGTTTCGAGTGAACTTCGAACAGGGTTATGAGGTACATACAGGAGGAACAGGGTGATTCAGATTCTAAAACAGATGTGATAGAGCATCTTTTATTAGATTTGTCAGGTGAGTTAATTTTCCCTCTAAAATCGACGACCGAAAATCTAGGTAAAACTAAGCATCAATCATATCCATGTTAAGCGAGTACATGCAACATGACAGTGACTGGGTTTGCAGGGGTTTCATCCATTGACATGACGGGTATCGAAACGTTTGTCGAGTTACGTAGAATTCTGGGCTCAAAGGGTATCAAGGTAAACATGAACTTGCATGTTAATATGTTTCCAATTACATCGAAGAAGCAATTGGAGTTTTAGACGTAAGGAAGAAACTGAACGAGGAATCTGCGTTTTGATTTAAAAAAAATATTGCAGTTAATAATTGTGAACCCCAGGCTTGAAGTTATGGAGAAACTGACGTTGGCGAAATTCACAGACGCCATTGGGAAGGAATCCTTCTACTTGTCTATTGAAGATGCAGTCCAAAGTTGTCGGTTTTCACTCCTTTCTAACAAAACGACCATGGAAGAATCCTCAAACGGCGCCCAAACTATTGTTTAAAAGACAAGGCTGGCTTATATGGAAGACCAAGTAGTTGTTATTGTGTAAAAGGATGAGCAACATGAGATAATAGTTATGTTGGAAAAATATTATAGATTTTGTATCCTTCCGTCTACTCAGCTTGTAATTCAATCGTATTTTATATACATCAATAGTCATGCCATGCCCTGCAGAAGGCCCAATTGTTGTTATCATTATCATGTGTTCAATCTGATAAGGTTTATAGAAAGCCCACAAAAATACAGAACTTGAGTGAACCATATTTATTTATTGCAATTTGACAATTGGATTAGGAAGGTTGTTTGGTTTAGAGGTGATTGAACAACCTCAAACTACACGCTGTCAGCCTTCTACTTCCAAATATGCAATTACATATAAAAGCTGAGGCCAGGTGGCAATGCCACCAACTCATCCACACACCATATTCCTGCTGTCATGCACTGATTTTCAGCTTCACCAACAATATCACTATAAACCTTTTAATTTTATTTTCCTCAACTCCATAATTCAGGTCAGTATTTTATATTTCATACGGCGCTTTTATAAAACATATACTAATCAGATATTCAACTTCGTAGAATAACTTCTCCAACGGCTAAATTTATTGACATTGGGAGGTCATGTTACTTAAATGATAAAAAAACCGATAATATTTTTTTAATCGTATATTAAGACCGTCGCACGTGATCATTTCCTATGTTCACTAGTGTAGATGCATGTTCCTTAATTCCCTTTTCTTTTGGTGTACTCGATTTGCTAACAAACAAAAAAAAACTATTTTCAATTAAGCAACTCATATAGAAAAAAAAAAAAAGTATGCCTATCATGACAAATCATTTGATATTCCATCTGTTAAGCATGATTTGCACCAAACACTAAAAAATAACCGAAAGATAAAGATTCCAGTCACAGGGATTCTTTGACATAATTTTTCCCAACCTCTTTTTCAGTTACCGATAATGTGTCGGGCAGGAAAAAACACAAGCTTGCATTTGAGTTGCTTTTACAACCAACATAGCTTGTAGTTTTCTGGTTAGAGTTTTCATAAATTTGATAGTATAGTAGTAGTAATAGCAAATATTTAAAAGCATGGTTGGCTGGTTGAGGACTTTTTGTTGTCACATGTTGGAAAAATATACAGCTGTAAAACGAGACGTAGCACTAACTGTAAAATATTAAATAAAATAATCAATCAGAATGATAACAGTGTCGTGGTAATTCACTGCCTTAGAAGTAAATTTGTCCCGATGTATGTAATCGCTACAATAGACGGATACCCCCAAATTAACACGGCTCTCCAAATTTCATACACCCGAAAGATGGAGCGAACTTTGTGATACTACTCCTCTCTCAACTCAAGTCAACACTCTATGAGAGTATTTCTAAAGCAAACCATTGCTTTTTGGATATATAGAAAGAGAAAAATTGTCTCCTTTATCCTCTCATTTCATTTCTCTTCCTTTTTAACCAAAGATTTATTTTTTCTTCCATTACCGGTCAAGTAACTTATCCCTAGTTTTTTTTAATTTTTTTGCAAGTTCAATCTAGGTTCACTGAATCAGTTAATGAAATAAAAAAAATCTTTGGTTGAAAAGAAAAAAATGACACATTATGCATAAATATTAATAAAATAAATTATGATGATTAAAATAGAAGAAATTCAAAAGTTGAGTAATTAAATTGAAAATTTCAAAATTTAGTGACCAAAATAAAAGAGAAAAATCAAAGGGCTTAATTGAGTTATTTTCTTGGGTTTGATTACCAGATTGAGAGAAAAAATAATATGTTGGCTTACTTAACATGCCATGTCAACATAAAATAACAGAGTCGTTAATCACAACATTGATCAAATGATCACATTGAATTTTTCTGACCTAGAGAGCTAACATTAGGTGCAAAAATAAAGTGAAAGACTACATTGATTTTTTTTTTCTAAGTACAAGGCCTCATATACATTTTGCATTCTTTTTCCTACTTATTGAGGAGAGAGTTTATTGAAAGGACTTTTCTGGTACTGACACTTTAAAGGAAATGGGGCCACTTCTACAACTTTGAAAAAGATAATTAACCAAAGCAGGAAACTTCTGTTTGTAATTCGTACTTCCAAAAAGGAGGTTTCAGTGAGAGAGGGATCCAGCATTTAAATTTTTAAACAGACCTCTCAGAACCGATTACCCGAACCATAATCGATATAGACCTGAATATAATAACTTAAAATTGATCCGAAACTCAAAAAATTTGAGTCAGATCAAAATCGTCCTCAGTTATAGTTTAATCGAAATTAACCGAATCGAAAGTAATCGAATCGAAAGCAATTTAATCCGAAATCAATCTGAACTGAAAAATAACTTAAACCGAAAGCAAACCAAATATAATTTATCCATATCTGATCTGAACTGAATTTGACCCGATTTTAACCCGATAATTGAGTTTAAGTGAACAAATAATTTTTTTTATTATTATCTATTTTTAGTAATTAGATCAATAGTAGAATGTTATATTTTTTTAATTCTTATTTTATATTGGCCGTGAGGAACTAGCCAACTAAAGATTGTAATTTTTTAATTTTGGGGTTAAGAATTGGGTATATGTAATTTGTTTTTACTTTTTTAGTAAAATAATATAAAAAATTAAATTGAAATATTTATATATATATAATGTATTTTTAAATATGATAAATAATAATTGGTTATAACAAAAGTAAAGTTAATACTACAATCAATCTTAAAATTTATTATAATTTATAATGTTGTTTTTATACTTTCAAATATTTCAATTTGATTTAATTCATTTAAAATAAAATTTTTAGCCTCGAATTTGGGATGTGACAATATATAGTCACATAAATTTTCTGAATTACAAGTTATAAAGAGCAACACCGATGATTAAGAAGACAAAGAGTGAAGACGGTTGACCTAAACAGAAACAAATTGAATTAACTCGAAAATCTAACGGTTGATTTGAATCAAAACCAACCCGAAAATCTAAAGGTTGATCCAATCCGAATCCAACCCGAATTGACCCGAATCGAAACCAACCAATCCGATATTGACTCGGCTTGAACACTAACCGATTTGGGATTAACCCGACCCGAACACTAAGCGATCCGATTTTGACCCGACCCGATACCCGACCCAACTTGAATTTTTGTTATCTCTAATTAAACTCGAACCTGATTTGACCCGAACCGAATCCAAATCGAATGCAATCCTAACTCGAAGTAACTCGAAACGACGCCACCCGAACCCAATCCAAATGACTCGATTGCCATCTCTTTTGCCGTAGAATTTTTGGTGATCACGTTTATAAATAGACTATGATTTAACTTTTAAAATTATGAAAGATAATTATAAGTTCTTCAAGAATGTTGTATATTCCCATGTTTTTAATTATCATTTGCAAGTATGATCTTCAACAATGAAGAAATGCAAACTATTAGCAGAATGGAAGGTGAATAAATATACTTGAGCTACAAACAGTTGTTTATGTTTTATTGTTCAACTGACAGATCAGAAGCAGGCAGGAAGGCATCCATCGAGGTACAGCGATGCATCTCGGCTGAGATTGCTGCGCACTTAGGCCTTACACGTTGGCTTTTTCTGGACATTGGAGGACTCAACGTTCAACAGCAACTACACTAAATTGTAGTAAAGCAGGACAGAGAGACAAGTTATGGTTAGGTTGTTCATACTTTAGCAATCGAGCCAAGTCGAGCTCAAATATTGCTGAACTCGACTCAAACTCAAAAACTTTAAACGCAAGCTCGACTCGACTCAAAAACTCACGAGTTAAAAATTATTATACTCGACTCGAACTCAAAATATATTTTTGAAACTCAACTCGAACTCAAAAAAGCTCGAATTCAAAAAAAAAATCAAGAATTCAATTAAAACTCGAAACTCAATTTAAACTCGATTTCGAGCTCGATTCAAGTTTAAAAACGGGTTAATTTCAACTGCTGAAACCCATCCCTTTTATAAACTCGATTTTACCCCTTATTCCCCAAAACTATCGATGTGGGATATCCCTCTTTCAAGCTAAATATAGTATATTGTGCATCTTCTTCTTCCTCCTCTTCTTCTCTCCCGAAACTCAACGCTCTGAATTAATAAATCCTGGTTCCAAACATTCCACTTCCAATTGATCTCCCATGAATTGCAATAAAGAAGAAAAAGAAAGGTGTCAGCAGCTATAAGAATATTTATTCAAAAATCTCCCATGGATTGTCTGGTACTCTGGTTCGCGAGGTCCCGAGCATTATTGGCGGTGGCAGTTTTGTCCAGCACATGGATGTTTCACCATCTTCATGACGGAATCATCATCCCGACTCTAATCACCTTCTCTTTGCCGACAACTTTCATGGCAACGCTCTTCCTCGTCGGAAGATGCCGGTTCATTGGTGCATGCTTTCTTATGTAAGTTCCCTGCTTAATATATACTTCCTTTTAGCATATGGTTGACTGTAAATTCTGCATTTTGTCCCTTTTTCGATTTACATATATCATTTATATTGTTGGTCACTTATCTTTTAATAACACACAAAATCTTCTTTTGTTGCTAGAATTCTTATTTCCTGGTTTGAATTCGTGCTTATGTTTTTGTTTTGAGTTGTGTGAATCATTTGGTTGTCATTTTTTTCTAAGAAGAAACGTCTTTCTCTCCTTTAAATTTAAATTTAAATTATATTTAAGACTCATTTGTTTGGTCTCTATATGTTTAACAGTTGGGCAAGTGGAGCCCTTGATCCTGAGAGAAACGAATCTGGTGATCTTGTAACATCTGTAAAAGGTTTCTATATATTTCTAATGCCATTGTAATGTCTTAGCCCTTTTACTTGCTGACATATATCAAGTATCTCCCATGTGCTTTTTTATAGGGGTGTATGGGCAATGATTGCAGTTATTCTTGCTTATTGCTTGCTGCAGGCTCCTTCCACGTAAGTTATTAGATTGATTCTCTTGTAGATCTTAATCCATTTAATTGTTTTACATGGATTCCTTACTGATTTGTAGAAAACTTTCATGACAACTTTCATGGCAAAGTTCATGGCATTCGACCAAGCTCGTATTTTCCATGGAGAAAAGCCGGTTAATTGGTTTTAGCTTTCTCGGCCATTTTTTATAAGGTAGATCTATAGAAATTACTTGAAAGATATAATTTAAAATAAAAAGACGATTATAAACAATGTCGATAGTCATCATTAAGATATGATAAAATCATGTCTCAATCAGCAAGTTGTGTATATTTATTTTGCATGTTGATATATTTATGTATAAGTATGCAAATGATTTATTTAGGAGTCACATAACATCATTTTGCATAATTTGTATGTTACCTTCATGTGCATAACTTAACCCCTATCATACTGAGTTTAGGGTTTAGGTTTTAGGGTTTAGTGCTTATAGTTTAGGGTTTAAAGATTATGATTTAGAGCTTAGGGTTTAGTATTTATGACTTAGGGTTTACAGTTTAAGGTTTAGTGTTTAAGGTTTAGGAATTAGGAATTAGGGTTTAAGGCTCATTACAAAAAGTCAAATACATTAATTAATCGATTTGGTAATGATTTATGAGGTAACTACAATATATTATCTTGATATTAAATGCTCAAACCCTTGATATTTGAACCCGAAACCTCAAAATATAACAACAATTTAAAAAATTAGTTATTAAAAATATTATCATTAGAAATATATTAAATATTTGTCATTAGACAAATAATTTTTTATTAATTTAAAATAAATATAAGAATATTTATTCAAAAATAATTTTTAACAATTTTCAATTTTTCTATTGTTTTCTATTTTATTATTTTATTTTTCTACGTTGTCAAGTACTTGTGCAGTAAAAAGTTAAAAAAAGAAAGAAAAAAATCAACCAAACACGTGTAATTTAACATGTGCTTAATTAAATGGACTTTTATTTTTCTCTTAGTAATATACAATGTAACAATTGGACTTGGGGTGATTAATTAAAAAAATAAAATTTGATGGTAGTTGTATTATAGAATTTTTTATATATTTTTAAAATTTTATAATTATCAATAATGTATTTTAAATATATTTTTAATAATGTAGTTTTAAAAAAATCTAAAATTATAATATAAAATTTTTTCGAGTAGCTCACGAGCTTTTCGAGTCGAATATCGAGTAGCTCGTTTCGGCTCGTTAAGAACTCGAGTCGAGTCCATTCGATCCAAGTATTTATCGAGCCTTGATCGAGTCGATCTCGAGTAACTCGCGATCTGTCTCTCATTTACAGCCCTACTTTAACCATCACCGAATCTCTCATCGAAAATATGACCATAATCCCATCTTTTCTTAATTTAAAATCAAAAATTTTGGTTAATCATTTATGAGTTTCTTTAATTATACAAATAAAATTCTAAAAAATAAAGAACAACATTGTCTTATCCTTCCTTTTTACTACTCTTTTAAGGATAGAGGTAACAAACAGGTCATTTGGATTGGGTTATTTCGGGTCTAGATTAAATTTGGTTTAATTTTGTTCAGATTGGATCGAATCTGGTTCGGATCTAGTTTGGGTGTATGGTGAATCGTATCAGGTCGGGTATCGGGTGATTATTGGATCGGTTTTTTTCCGGTTCGGATCAATCAAATCGATTGATTTTTGGATCAGGTCAATATCGGGTGGGTCAATACCGGATCGATTGATTTTTGGGTCGGTTTAATATCGGATCGATTAGATTTCAGGTTGGATCAATATCAGATCGATTGATTTTCGGTTTATGTCAACCTTTAGATTAAGTCAATTCGGGTTGAATTGGTTATGAGTCTAGTCAAAATCAAGAATATATAGAATAATTGATATATGCTTGTAAAAATATTTCTTCTTATTTGTTAATTTTATCATTCAAGTTTAATTTCAATTCTCAATCGTCCAACATGTTGAATTAAACCATCATTTAGAGATGATAAATCAATAATTTGACACAAATACGATCCTATAATACTTGTTAGAATTTGTTATCAAAATTTTATATTGATATTGTATGAAAAGTTTATAATGAGAACTATAATAAAGAAATATTTTTTATTAAAATTTTTATTTCTAATTATAAATTTAATATTTTTATTAAATTTTTAAAAAATAATACATAATTTTATTTGTTAAGTTTTAGTTATAAAATAAATAAACTTTATATTATTTTATTATAAATCTAATATTATTTCCTTTTTTTAGTTGTTTTCTATTATTTTTATTATAAATCTAATATTTTTATAACAAGTAAGATAAGTAAACTTTATTTATTATTGTTTTGAATCTTACAATTAGATTCTTATTTTTATACCATCTTAAATTTCTATTATTTTATTATAAATATAATAATTTTAAATAAATTATCAATTTTATTTAAATTAATTTATTATTAAAAATAAATTTTATCGTTTAATAACTTTTATCAAACTCAATTTGTTCGGATTGCTTTCGGGTTTGGTTAAATTCTATTCGGGTTACTTTCGGATCGGGTTAAAATTCGGTTTGGGTTTCATTCGGTTCGAGTTAATTTCGGTTTCGGTTTGGGTTGATTTCGATTTCGTTAAATTTTGGATCGAGTATGGTTTGGTTCGGGTATCAGATCAAATTTAATTATTATGTTCGGGTTAATATCATATATTAGGTCGAATAAATCGATTAAGGTAATCGGGTTAAAATTAAGTTTTCTAGGTCTACTTAAGGACTTGAACGACCTAATATTGGACAATGTCCTACTTCCAAACCTCTCCTAATTAATCTCCAACAACTTCCTGCATTTACCCAATTAATAATGAAACATAAGTAAAGTTGATTGATGACTTGTGGTCAGATTATGGCTTTAGTACCTCTATTATACTTAATTTTGGGATATGATCCTTATAGTTTAATTTTATAAAATTGGCTCCTTTACTTTTGGAATGTGGAGTATTAATTAATCTAAAGACTTGACACGAATCGAGCGACCTCAGTAATAAATAAATTGTTGTTATTTTTTAAGGTTTTGAATTTAAATACCAAATATAAGATATTACCCCATATTAATAAAAATAAATGAACACTTAACACCGTTAACTTTGATTATCGAATTCCTCTCATGTATTTGACGTGGCAGATTTTAGTTGACTGATTTTTTCGGCTTCATTGTTTTGAAGATTCTATGGCGGCCTGTTATTTGGCTTCTCAATCTCAAAAGATCATTAAATTCCACAATTGACTTCTTTTTATTATATATTATTGTTAATGTTTTAATTTATTTTTATTTTTAAATTTTAAATAGGTTTAGGCATAAATAATTACTTTATTTTATGAAAATATCAACACTGCACAAAAAGTTAATAAAAATATATTCCAGTATGCTGAAATTAATTGTTTTTAATTATAAAAAACTGGAATATTTAATATGCGAAAATTCGTACAGAATCTAAGAGATTTTACGTTTTATGTTTACGGAGCCCTTCCGCATAGTATTTAATGGGCCAATAATTAAAAACCATTAATATTTAGTCAACAACTCAATAATAAAAATTAGTACCGATCCAACGGTCCTAAACGTCCAAGGATTTTGATTTTATCATTTTTTTTACAGCGAACCCTACTGATGAAACAACCAATCACGCGCTAAGCCGGTAACTGTTGAATCACGAATCAATCAAGAAAAGTAGTAACAGTTTTTTAACGTACTTTTTCTGCTCAACCATAAAAAGTTACAGCTCAATACCAAACAAAACAAGACGTGCTCCCGTTCGCGCGTGACTGTCCCCTGAACTTTTTACCTCCAAAGTGTTAGCAACTCGTACAAGCATTCTCTTTTCTATCTTCAAAATCCAACTCACAACGAAGAAGATACTCTCTCTCTCTCTCTCTCTCTCTCTGTTTGGATTCAAAGAAAAACAAACTTTTTTTCTTTCTTTCTATTTTTGCTGTTATTTTGGCTTCCTTAAAACCCTAGTTTCCTCCCATTACGCGAAGGTATTCATTTGCTCTTAGATTTGTTTTTCTCTTTTAATTTTTTTTTTGATTTTTAAATTACTCAGATCCGTCCTTGTTTCGGCTTGGCTCTTCCCTTCTTGACTTGCTTTTGGCTCTGTCAAAATACACTCCTTTTTTCTCGTACATTAACAGCTTTAAATTTACGCTGTTTTCTATATCCTACATTTGATTTTCCATATTTTTCAATTATTATTTGGTTTTTACTTGTTTGTTTTTTCTCCTTTAACTTAGTCATGTTACATTCGCAGGCACTGGTGTTGTTTTGTTTTTTAGATACGCTTTTTTGCTTGGAATTTATTATTTACTTTTCTACTTGCAGTCAATTTATTTTTCTTTAATGTTGAATGGAGCTTGCAAGGTTTTTTTTTTGGGGGGGGGGTCAAGGAGGAAAGGATTCTTTTGGCTCGTATTCTGTTTTTATGGATAAAAATGTATTTTTTTGTATTGGTGGGAAGTTTTCAATTTGGTATTTATTGTATATATGTTTTGGGTTGATACTGAGCTACATTGCAGAGACAAGAAATGGAAGAATAAGATTTAAATGAATATGAAATTTTCTTCCACATGCAGACTGTAGGAAAGCTTTTACTGCTTTTGTTTTGTTATCTTTTCCTTGTTTGTTTCTACAATGCGGAAATTGATTTTTTTCTGTCAGTTGGGATTTAATGAATACGTCTTGTACTGATAATTCATTTGCAGGTGCTGCTGAATTCAACACTGGTAAACTTCGACAAGGGGAAGAGCTAAGCATTGTGGCTTTCGGAATTTAAATTATGGATTTAGAGGATAAATACCTTGCTAAAGGTATGATATTCATATCTACTACTTTTTTTTCATTTTACTAACCCCTCCCCTCCCCCTTTTTTATCTGTATTTGTTACTCAACGAACCCCTGATCTTAGAAGTGATTATATGTTGATCCACAGTAAAAAGATAGTTGTATACCTCTTGCTTCAAGTTGTGATGGAACTTCGAAGTACCATTAACTGACTTCAAACATTGGTAAAGGATACTTCCTATATTTTGGATGAACCTTAATCTAATTGTGTTAGCAAATGCTTCTACTTTCTCAATAAGTTCCATGCTTTTGAGGGGAAAATATCATGACTAATTTTAATGCCAAATCAGGATTCTAAATCGCCTTTTAAACAAGATACACTAGGTACATGAGTGGATGAATCAAACCAACCATAGATACATTGGAAATTGCTGGTGTAAGAAGGGTGGTTATAGATTTAATCACATTTAAGTTCTTGCCACCTTGAGTTGGGGGATTTTCTTTCGGGCAATTCCTTGGAAATATCTCACTTACGTCTCTTTTATTTGATTTAAAGTTTGAAGGTATGCATGTTTACCAGTAACTTAAAGCAACTTGTTTATGCAAGTAATCTGCTTAATATTTCTCTATGATTCTATTTTTTGTAGAATGTTCTCACACTATTGTGAATCAGATATTTTTGTCATCAATTAGGTTACTGATTTGACTCGAACGATAGTTGAAACTTGTTCGAACCATTGACTATTTGCATATGGATCTTTACATCACCAGATCCAGTACCATTAAAATCTAGTCCAAATAGATATTTTGTTTTTGTGAAGCATTTAGACATAAGATATTCTTTTTAACCCTAACTATGTTGAAAAACTTAACTCAGGCTGCTTCGTGAACCTCTGCTGAAGTCACCCTGGATGCTATTTCAGTGTGTGATTCTTCTAACTTGTTTTCCTTTTCACATTCTTTCCATTCTATATAAGGTTCTGTTGTCTACCAGTATCTGCTGGTCATTTTTAATTGGACTGAAAATTTTGTATCTATTCTTAATTGCATAATAGAATTATCTTTCTTGCAAACTTTTGTTGCAACATATATGTGCATGTTGCTGTCTTTCTTTTTTTCAATTTTAAAATATCTGATTTCTTTTTTCTTAGCAGATTTTTTTTCTTAATAAGGCTCACTTTCTCATCTCAAGATTTTTATCATTTTATACATTATTCTAAATTATTAAATACAATGAATATCTGGTTCACTTGGATGCTATCAAATATTCCTATTTAAAATTGTTTGTTGTGTCTGTATTTTTCTTTCTTTTTCCATCATCTTCCTTTCTCTGTTAATTTTGGGTGGAAATTGGATACATTGCAAACATCAATTGATCACAGATAGATATATTCATATGCTAATCTTTAATGAAAACTGTTGTGATTAATGCATAAGCATTCGTCTTCGTTTTACATGCATCAAGTGCCTTTTGAGATGTTAATATGGGATTCTTTCATCTTTTTATTTTTCTCAACATTTTTGTGGTTAGACTTATTGGCAACTCTCAATAGTTAATTTAGGTAATGAGTTCTGATACCAACTTCCATCATGATTTTTTCCAATAATGCAGTTTATGGCATACAAAGTCTTTCTTCCAGTGTGCAAAGTACTCCAGAGAAAAATGGTCATTCAGATGATGCTTCAAAAAGTCCAGAACTCTTGCAAGAGTTCCTGAAATCTGGTCCAAGAAAGGAGCTTCTCCGAACCTGTTTTCATAAAGACATGAAAACTTCAGCTTCTTCAAAGAGCAAAATGTCTGAATCGAAGTTAGGTAACAAAACCATAAAAAAGTCGGACTCAAGAAAAGCTTTAGCCAGTGCAAACAGTCAGTCTTCTGCTAGGAAGCAAAACAGGAAGGGGGAGAACCCAATGAGAATGCTCCCGGCTACTGAGCAGCCTTCGGACCATGGATTTTCTAACTCATGGATATGTAAAAATTCTGCCTGTAGAGCTGTTCTTTCCATAGATGACACATTTTGTAAGAGATGCTCATGTTGTATCTGTCACTTATTTGATGACAACAAGGACCCGAGTCTTTGGTTGGTATGCACTTCTGAATCTGGTGAGGGGGATTATTGTGGGTTGTCATGCCATATTGAATGTGCTCTTCAACATGAGAAGGTGGGGGTTGTTGATCTTGGACAATTGATGCAGCTAGACGGTAGTTATTGTTGTGCTTCTTGTGGTAAAGTGTCGGGTATGCTTGGGTAAGTATTGGCTTGCAGGTCATGCCACATTCAGCTTTCCGTTCTGTTCTCTACCAAACCTAACAAACTCCTGTTTTATTTCTGCCTAAACTGTTATTTCTCTATATATGGAAAATGATTACAAATGTGATGAATCAAAGTTTCAGAGAATATGGTGAAAAATGTTATTTCTCTATATCTGATTAGGGTTTTCAGGTTTGGGCTGATGGGATTGATGTGGTTTACTTGCTCCTGACAGATGTTGGAAGAAGCAGCTAATGATAGCTAGGGAGGCTCGCCGCTTGGATGTACTCTGTTATAGGATATACTTGAGTTACAGGCTCCTAGAGGAGACTTCTCGCTTTAAAGAACTGCATGAGTTTGTGAAAAATGCGAAGGCCAAACTAGAAACAGAAGTGGGTCCTGTGAATGGAGTTTCTGCTAAAATGGCACGGGGAATAGTGAGCAGGCTTTCTGTTGCTGGTGATATACAGAAACTATGCTCTCTTGCAATTGAAAAAACAGATGAATTGCTGGTTACCATGTCTAACACTAATCCAAAGTGCCAAGGTTAGAACCAACAATGTCTTCTTTTATTTCTTTTTGGTTATTTTGAAGTTAGTTGTATGAGAAACCTGTTCTCCCTTTTTGCACAGATTCACGTCCTGCTGCTTGCAAGTTTCTATTTGAAGAAGTGAAGTCATCATCTGTTGTAATTATTCTAATTGAACTGTCCACTGCATTGTCTGACGACATTAAGGGCTACAAGCTCTGGTGTTTCAAGAGTAGAGATGAGACACATACAAACGAACCTATCTCTATCTTTCCAAGAACCCAGAGAAGGATCTTGATATCTAATCTGCAGCCCTGTACTGAGTACACCTTTCGAATTGTTTCTTATACTGAAGCTGGTGATTTGGGCCATTCTGAGGCTAAATGTTTCACCAAGAGTGTAGAAATAATTCACAAAAATCCTAATTCAACTGTTGTGACGAATAGGAAGAATGAAAATAACCTTATTGAAGGAAGTTCTTTAGGTTCAAAGGAGCTCCCAGCACTTGGTTCTTCTGGATTTAAGGTTCGAGAGCTTGGAAAGATCCTGTGTCTCGCTTTGGCTCAGCAGCAAGGCTGCTTTGAAGGGTTTCGCAGTGCTGATTTAGAAAAATGCTGTGGAGCAATAAAAAAGATTAAACCTGAAACTCGAGAAGAGGATCATATGCCACCTGTTTCCCGTGGGCTTGACTTAAATGTTGTCTCGGTGCCTGATCTAAATGAAGAACTAACTCCTCCATTCGAGTCCTCCAGGGATGAAGATAATGGTTGCACTTTAGAACGGACTGTTGAGGCTTACGATGATGCTGCTTCACCTGAAATAGAGAAGAACGGGTTTGCAAGATCACATGGTAGTGGAGATTCCCAGACCTGGACTAATGGGCCAAGGGGGGAAGTGCCTGCTGTTGACTCCCATACAGAGTTGTGTAGGAAAAGAGCAACACACTCGAATGAAGAGACACATGATTGTGATAGCACTCTTATTAATAGCTCACCATTCCGAGTCACCAATGATTCAGGTTCCTTGGACGAGAATTTCGAGTACTGTGTGAAGGTAATCAGATCACTAGAATGCGAGGGTCATATCAACCAGGAATTCAGACTGAAATTACTAACATGGTTTAGCTTGAGGTCGACAGAGCAAGAACGCAGGGTGGTAAACACATTTATTCAAACCCTGATCGATGATCCAAGTAGCTTGGCAGGGCAGTTAGTTGACTCGTTTTCAGATATCATATCTAGCAAGAGGATGCGAAATGGATTTTGTAGCAAGCTATGGCACTAAATTAGTGCAGGCCATTCTAAAACAACAGCATTGCAATTTGCTCCTGGATTTATTCTTTTCCCTTGTGATAGCCTTACGCCCTTACCCCTGATTGTTTCACCAACCTTGTACATGCATTTTCTTTTTACCCTGACCACTTTCTAAATACTAGTCTTTGTTGGTTCGCTGATTGCTGCCATGTTTACCGGTAAGGGGGTGGGGGTCAAGTACTTTTTCAAGCATGGAGAAAATATATATTTATTCATGAATCCTTTAGATTAATATTGCCTTCTGAAATTCAATGAAGGGTATATGAATTAAGTCACCCATTTGTCCTCTGATTTACTTGCTGCTACCCTTCCATGGTGATTTTTTAATAACCATGTTGCATGATGTCCCTCTCTCATTGTCTTTCATACTAGAATTTGAATGATTATTCTCGAGTATTCATTGCATCCAAGATATGATATTTTAGCACTCTTTACCTCTATCACAATCACTACTTGTGTTGGACTTGCAAGAACCTCTGTGAAGCGAGCGGTTTTTGGTTCAGACCAAGAAAAGCACACTTACGGATTGCATCTTTGAGGGGACGACGGTACCTTCAGTGTAATAAATCAACGAAACCGAAGATGGTCGTTAATGAATTCGTATAAAAAGGCAAAACAGTTTTTCTCCCTTTTGTTGTTGGTTTGTGTGTGTGTGTTTTGTGGGGGTTTTTTTTTTGGGCGGGGGGGGGGGCAAGTGAGCAACTTATTAGATTTTGAGCCATTAATTTTTATCACTCCAGCAACAGAAACATGAGGCTCACAACAGCCGACCGCTAACTTCTTATGCTTTCTTTTTGTTAACACCGAAAAATTTTATCTTCTTCAGTATTCTCCAAAATGCAACTTCTTCACGCTCCACCTTGTCCCTCTCTCTCTTTTCCAAATTTAAACCGAAATTCTAGAGGTATTTTTTCTTCTTGCAACGAAAGCTTCATGTTGGTAACAACAGCTGAAACTATTTTCAGTTTTTCACTTGAAATTCTCTGTTTCTTTTACTGTAGGATTGCTTTCACTTGAGAAATGTCTTCAACCGTCAACTGCCAACTGCTTCTTTCAGCCTCAAAAACTGGAAAGGTCGATATGGGTATCGGATAAACTGTCCGTTTTTAGCTTCTTTGCACCCAAAGCTACCTCAGTTGACGGTAATACTCCATATCTTATCCAAAGCTAAAACCGGGAAGGCTAAACCTTTCTCGCCTTTCCTTCATTGTAAAAAACCCAACGTGTAGTGCTTTTCTTTTCAAGCAGGGAAGATTTTTTTTTAATCATTTGACATTAAAATCTTGTACCATAATATTTTAGTGCTCGAACTCGAGATCTTAACGAATAACACAAATTCATTTATCAATGAACTCTTTTGGTTCATACATTATTTATTTATTTAAATATTGGTTTTTGTCAATACTATTTAGGGGTGTTCAAAAATACCCGATCCGTCAATCCACCGACCCGTCAACCAATATTTAAATAAATAAATAATGTATGAACCAAACGAGTTCATTGATAAATGAATTTGTGTTATTCATTAAGATCTCGAGTTCTAGCACTAAAATATTAGGGTACAAGATTTTAATGTCAAATGATTAGAAATCTATAACCTAAAATTGCTCCTGTAAAGCTTGAATGTCTTCATGCTTAATTTGGTTTCTTACTTAAAGTGAAATAATTAATTCAATAAATAAAATACTTATGTCATCCTTTTGCGGTTAGATCCTATCATGTTAGTCGCCTTTTCGCCTTCTTGGTTGTTATTGCTTGCACAAAGATACCTTCCAACCCATCTTTTTGCTCCTAAAATTGCTGTTATTGTTTGAGGTGTCTTCTAGATTCCTATTTTGTCATCTAAATATTAATTTTGGTTGATGGCAGCTAGTTCTGCTGCTACAACTGGAACAGCCGAGGGCGACGTATTAAAAGCATTGTCTCAAATCATTGATCCGGACTTTGGAACAGATATCGTCTCCAGCGGTTTTTTGTCTCCTCATTGATGAAGCTTCAGGAGAGGTCACTTCTATGTTTGAAGATTTCGTAAAATAACCTAAAAAGAGTTTTGTGAGGGATGGGGGGGGGGGTGGAACACACTTGCTAAGAAGTTGAAGGAGTTGATCTTTATGAGTTAGAAGAGATTTTGGAGATGACTAATATGGTCGAGTTCCAAAAGATCATGGTTCCAGTGTTTCGGTGTATTGCATGCTGCTCAAACAGCTCCCATTACCAGGTAAAATTTCCTTAATATCATTATGTGACCGTTTGATGATACTTTTGAGTGGTATATCTACTCTTAAATAGAAATGGTTGATGGATGTTATGTGGTCGAATGAAACGTGAAATTGTTTTCGACTTCTATTTCCGACTATTTCAGGTGGCCGAACGAGCTCACTTGCTTTGGAACAACGAGCTCATAATCTTGTTACACAACCGCCATGCGATTTTCCCTCTTATCTTTCCATCCCTCGAGTGGAATTCCCAGAATCATTGGAATCAGGCAGTGCTTAACCTGACGCGGAACATTCGAAAGATGTTCAGTGAGATGGATGAAGAGCTTCTGCTTGCCTGTCGGCGCAAGTTGGAGGAAGAAAACTAGAAAACTCTCAATCCATCGAATCAGCTCAGAAGAGGAAGCTAGTATGGGAACGGCTGGAAGCAAGCTTTCAAACCTCCGGCTACTAACATTATCCCTCCCGTACAACCAGCCGCTCCCCACGTTGCCTGTTAACCACTTCGAGGAACTGTTGTTGGCAATAGATAGATGCATGTATAAAATATATATAGGTGCTCGGATTGCAGTGTTTGATGTTGCTTTCTTCAACATGGTCAAGTTGTGATCGAGTAGGGTTTATATTTGTATCTAAAGATGAAGTTGCTGGGCTGAAAATTATTGGTGTTACTGCATTGCTATTGCCTGCAAAAATTCAGAGGCATTGAGTTGTTGGGTTGCAAATATAATTCAATTATTTTATTCTATGTTTAATCAAAGACAATTCATACCAACTCGTCAATGAACCATATTATAAATGGAGTCGGTTGAATTTGGTTGAAGGTTTTCAAGCGTTAAACCCAATAGTCCAACACTGGATGGCATTTTAAGACAAAACAAAAAGGTGTATGGCAATGGACTAGGCTAGGTCAGAACTTCAAGGTTTGGGCCTAAAAGAGCGACACACGTACAAAAACCTCAATCTGGTGTTTCTTTTATTCTTCAATACAAGTCTGAGTTTCATGGATAAAATACTAAAGTTACCACAGAATATATGTTAATTAGAATTTTTTTTTTTATTAATATGAGGTAATATCTGTCGTATCCCTGAAATCGGACAATCTATAGGAAAATATAGTTGGAAGGTGATTGATCATTTAGTATTATGGCACTTGCTTAGAGCTAATTTACTTTAGTCCAATCCTTCATGGATTTGACATGGTATGCTTCTTTTCCTTCCCTTTTGGAAGGATGATTTACTTATAATGAACGGAGACGGGTAAAGTTAATAGTATTAAATAAGCGTGGAAGTAATAAAATTGACAAGTGCTTAACCTAAATTACATTAAAAATATATTTGTGATTATTTATCAGGATTTTCTCTTCTTCCAGTCCTAAAATATTAATTCACTCTCAAAATGTGTATTACGATGATTATTATTCATGATTTTTTTATTCAAATTAACATAAATGAACCAGCTGAACCTACCGATGTTTATGCCGACGTGAACAAGTAAAAATCCGGCCCTTCTCAACCCATTTCTCAATTATTATTGAAAGGAAGTAAATAAATTACGGCGTGTTATATTTTCTTAAATATGTATTAAGACGTTGCTGTCCTCCGCGTAAGCGTTTGTACTTTTGAAATATAAACCGCCTACTACTAATGAATGAGTTTCCATTCAATTAAACAAATTAAATTTCCGAACAATGACCATAAATAAAATAATGAACCGTATTTACGCACGGGACCTTGTATTTGTTCTTAGAACATAGGAGGGTTTTAAAACACCTGTTAATGTTTAAAAGAAGGTGATTTTAGAATTTCAAAAAATTATGTAATAATTAAAACAAATCAAATTATAATCCATAACTGGAACTAAGGATAAAATTTGAAGTACAAAATAGGGTTTAAAGTCTAGAAACGTTGCTTACAAATTTAAGGCACGAGTAAATCTAACTCCATTTCATTTATGATGGATGCTGTCAACGATGAAAAAATGGCAAATGACCGCTGCCGTTCAGCTCACTTGTCAGAGGCAGCCAAGGTACGACGGTCAATGAAACTTCGATTGTCCAACATTTAAGCTGTAATTATTATGCAAACTATCCTATAAAAATCAAACTAAAATGAAACTTCGATTCTCCAATTTTTGAATCAGTGTTCGTCGGCGTGTTTAATAAAACCCAGTTACGCCTCTTTTTAGTATAGTTAATAATGTAGATAGAGGTGTTGTAAGTTCTTATAATGCAATAGGAATAGGAATAGGAATTGGAACTGTAATTACTATTTTTGGGTGGCGGTCTGTGTAAAAAAAATGCTGTAGAAAAATATCATATACTCCATAAAGAAAAGGAGTAAAGTTTTCCTTAGAATTGAGATTAAAAAAAAGGTGTCACCATCTAAAGGGCAAAACAAAAAATACGTATATCGACAAAACAAACCTACTCTCTCTTTAAAATCGTGGAATCACCTTACATTAACTGATACGATTGGTAAACATGCAAATGTTTACGACAGGGGACCCACCCCTTGCTTCACTCTAAAATCCAAATATTCACTCTCACATGGAGCAATCAAAGGAGTAGCTATCATCGTTATGAACTAAGTAACGTGGATGATAAAAAAAATTGTTATTAATCTTTAAAATATCGGTTTCAAATATTAAAAAATATAAATATTTAATATCAAATAATAAAAAATTATATATAACTAAATACTATTTTATACATTTGTCATGTTAATAAAAAAAATAGTAGATATAATCAAATTTCTCAAACTCCACGCGCTTCCGAACGAGTGTTCATTAAAAGAAACCAGGTAAGAAAAAGAGAGAAACGCTGATTTTATTTTTCAGTTCACCAACATGAAGGAAAATTTATTAGAAATAAAACGCTTTCCCACCGCTACCAGTCGACAGCAAAGCCATAGGAACACTTCTCTCTCTTAACTATGCCCTGTTTTTATTTGTCGTTTCTTTAGGAAACCTCGCACTTGTCTCTCCGATTTCTTGTTTCCTTTATGGGTTCTCACCGGGAAATCGTATTTGGGTCTTACGGGCCGCCGACAACAGCAACATACTAATAGCGCAAAACCCAACCATCCTTCCTTTTTTTTTTATTGTGTGTTCCATTCTTCAAATCAAAATCCCAAAATGGTTGTAAATTTTGGTTGGTTTGTTTTAGTTTCAGCTGTGATATTATTAAGTCTGGGAGTGAACTCAGAGCCAGTTCAAGATAAGCAAGCTCTCATTGCCTTCCTTTCACAGACTAAACACTCGAACCGGATCCAATGGAACTCATCAACTTCAGCCTGCAATTGGGTCGGCGTCATATGCGATGCGAACCGCTCTTTTGTCTACACTCTTCGGCTTCCTGCTGTGGGTCTCGTAGGCTCCATTCCACCCAACACAATCGGACGGTTAAACAATCTCCGAGTTTTAAGTCTCCGAGCCAATGGTTTGGCCGGTGAGATCCCACCTGACTTTTCTAATTTGACTCTCCTCCGTAGCCTTTATTTGCAAGATAACGCCTTCTCCGGCTCGTTCCCACCCAGTGTGACTAGCTTAATTCGTTTGACGCGTCTTGATCTTTCTTCTAACAATTTCTCCGGTCCTATCCCTTTCGGGGTAAACAATATGACTCATCTTACCAGGTTATACTTGCAAAACAACAAGTTTTCCGGTTCTCTCCCCAGCATCGACTCCGATGGTTTGGATGATTTCAATGTTGCTAATAACAGCCTGAACGGTTCAATTCCCGATACGTTAACAAAATACCCCCGCGTCTTCATTCGCCGGAAACATTGGGCTTTGTGGTGGCCCACTCCGTCCGTGTAACCCATTTTTTCCCTCACCGGCAACGTCTCCTTCCGAGCCCATTTCGCCCACAACTTCGAGCAGAAAGTCCAGAAATCTCTCCACCGGCGCCATTATTGCTATTGCCGTGGGGTCAGCAATCGTTGCGTTACTGTTGCTATTATTCCTCATTCTTTGCCTAAGTAAGCGGCAACGGCAACCGTCTAAGCAGCAGAAGTCTGCTGTGGCTGGTACAAGGGTGGTTCCGCCGGCGGAGGTGGGAACTTCCTCGTCGAAAGATGATATAACTGGAGCGTCAACAGAAGGGGAAAGGAATAAGCTGGTGTTCTTCGAAGCTGGATTTTATAGCTTCGATCTGGAGGATTTGTTGAGGGCTTCAGCTGAGGTGTTGGGAAAAGGTAGTGTCGGAACGTCGTACAAGGCTGTGTTAGAAGAAGGGACGACGGTGGTCGTTAAGCGGTTAAAAGACGTGGCGGTCAGTAAAAAGGAGTTCGAAATGCAGATGGAAATGCTGGGTAAGATTAGGCATGAAAATGTGGTTCCTCTGAGAGCGTTTTATTACTCCAAGGACGAGAAATTGCTGGTTTCTGATTTCATGCGCGACGGTAGCTTGTCTTCCCTGCTTCATGGTAAGTTAAACTGTTTCATTTCAGTATTTCATTATTCTTTTTTCTGGGTTTTTTCTTAGAGAGTCAAATAATCCGTGCAAATTTATTCTTAAAAATTCAAACATATTTTACTAAGAACATAACCTGACAGTTAATTTTGTCTATACTGGAACTCCAGCTGCTGCATTTATGTTATTTTCCTCCCCGTTTTACGCTGTGATAATACTATTTTTAGTGGAATGTTGCTGGGATAATATAATATTTAATTTCTTGAGGGTACAGTGGGGGAACTTAATCATTTGAGAAATTTTAAAATGTTTCTCCAATTAAATAAACAGAAGCGTCCTGGTTATGGATTCCTTTGTACAAACATTCTTACAAGAGTATGAGTTACGCTTATGAAGTAATAGCTGTCTTTCTTGTCTTCATTTACATTCCACCACCAGCATTCTCATAATTCATCTATAGATCCACCGACATCGTTTCATTGTACCTTGTTTATTTTCACCAAATTCCCTGAAATTATACTCTCATGTATTCTCTTTTTGCAGTGTAATCAACATTCCTTTGTAGTTGTGAGTTGTTTCTTCGACTTTCCTTTCAATTTAAGGAACCTGAATATATCTAGAGCACTATTTGAAGTTAAATTAGTATAATCTTAAAGCAAAACTGGTCACTAATCATGAAAACTACAGCTCAAGTAGGTTAATATTGGCCAATCATGAAAACTACAGCTCAAGTAGGCAGATTGCTTTTCGTTTTTGGTAATGAAGTGAAGGGTTATGTGATGATGCAGGTAGTAGAGGCTCAGGCCGTACTCCGTTAGGTTGGGACAATCGCATGAGAATAGCGTTAAGCGCCGCCAGGGGCCTAGCCCACCTCCATGTTTCAGGCAAGGTGGTCCATGGCAATATCAAGGCTTCCAACATCCTTCTCCGACCGGACCAAGAAGCCTGCATCTCTGACTTTGGTCTGAACCCTCTGTTCGGCAATACTACCCCACCTAGCCGTGTCGCGGGCTACCGAGCACCTGAAGTACTCGAAACTCGGAAAGTTAGCTTCAAGTCCGACGTGTATAGTTTCGGAGTGTTGTTGCTTGAGTTGTTAACCGGGAAAGCACCGAATCAAGCATCGTTAGGAGAAGAAGGGATTGATCTTCCTCGTTGGGTGCAATCCGTGGTTCGGGAGGAATGGACGGCCGAGGTTTTCGATGTGGAGCTGATGAGATACCACAGCATTGAAGAGGAAATGGTGCAGCTGTTACAAATTGCAATGACATGTGTATCGACCGTGCCCGATCAAAGGCCCTCCCTGCCAGAAGTTGTACGGATGATCGAGGAAATGAATAGAGTAGAAACAGACGATGGGTTGCGGCAGTCGTCTGATGATCCCTCAAAAGGATCAGACGGGCAGACTCCCCCAACGGAGTCAAGGACCACACCTAGGTCTGCCACTCCTTGAACGTGCATGATGTCAACAACCAAAGGGGAAAGAAAAAGAAAAAGAAAAAGCAAAAGGAGAGTGGGGAATGGGGTCTTTAGGTTCTCCTTAAAATGTGCACAAAGCGTAAGTAAGAGTCATAAAGTGCGCAGTGGATTGGGGGAAGTAATTAATGTTCGCCCCCCAGTTTGTGCTTATTTTTCCTTTTCCTGGGTTTATTCTTATTTTTATTATTTTCAATTTGCAATTTTTTTTATAGATGAAGTTGAAAGGGATCTGAAATGTTTTTGAAGCTTGGTGCTTAGGAACTTATCGGAATTTGACCATTTTTATGTTTCTTCTTCCTTTTTATAAAAAAGTCCTTCCTTTCTAATTGTATCTCAAACAAAGAAAAAAATCAACTCTAGGCCTTGTCATAGATTTACACCCATTATAAGATTTGAGTTAGTCTCGATTATTAGCACACTTAATCAGTATTAACATCATAATAAACAGGTTTAATGTAGGAAAGCAGAAAGCAAATATGCATTTTTTTTACTTTCAGCACGCCGCCAATGGAATAAACATTTTTAATGATGGAATAAACATATTTAATGATGGAATAAACAAACCAACCGTAATCAGAGACACGTGTAGGGTCAATAGACGAACGATGAGCAGATGAGATTTTGATATTTCACTGTGGAGAAGTGTTGCCTGTTCATGGCCATGGAGCCGGAGAGAAGAAACAGGAAGTTGGGGACCGCCCGGCTGGTTTTATTTTTTAATGTTTCCAGACAAACAAATAAAATAAAGGGGATTTGTTCTGAGATTATGTTTGTCGTGGCCATGCTGGTCTGTATGTATGCATGACGATTGATGTATGTACTATTTGATGGGATCACGTTGTATAGGCTTGGCTTCTTGTTCCTGTGTTTCTCCAGTGTAAATTTATTTTTAAAATTATAATATTTTAAATTATGATTACAATTAATAATAACATGTTTATTATATAATATTTTAACACAAAACCATGTAACATAAGGAGGTAATAAATATAGATAGGCAGTCGCCACGTCGGAAGAGAGTTCGGTGGACCGAAAGTCGATGGAGAGAGTTTAGCCGGACGCCTCTTCTAAATCTTTTGCCTTTTCTGCTCATTCATTACTACCGCCAAAACAAAAGAAAAAGATCCTCCGACATATTGTTCGTTTTTTTAACGTTTGACCTAATCTTTCGGTAGTCTTTAATTAACACACACAACCCTAAAGCATTTTAAAGCATGTGGGTCATATAAAGTGTGTAACTTATTGTTAAAGATCCCATCACATTTCCTTTCGCTTATCATCACTTCTCTTTGACTCGAGAAAACTTCGGTAGAGATCAAAGCCCTTCAGTCCATTAGAACATTATTAGGTTTTCAGATAAATTAAGTTACAGTGGTTAAAGTTCCCAGACTATATTCAAATTATGAGCACCGTGAATGATCCTGGCGACACATCATTTTACCAAAGATGCAAGGCTAAGAATAGTGGATAAAAAGGGCCCTTTTATAATCAACGAAATCGACTACCCAAGGGAGAAGAATCATTGAAAATAAAATGCCTATCGTCAAGATTGAGAGAAACATAATTTATTAAAAATAAACTCAAAACTTAATTAAATATTTTTAAAATATATTATTTAATTGATTCAAATTTAAATTTCGGTATATACCCCTATACTTTGATATTTCAATCAAAGAAAAGGAAAGCACCTTAGTTAACCCCATTGAGCATTGAAAGCTTAAATCAATTATTTAGTGGCCCCCTGGACCCGCATTGATATAAAGACACCTTGAAAGCAATATCAAAACCCAAATCTGTCTCACTTGTGTAGTTTATGTTACTATGGTAAAAGATTGATCAGAAACAAAAATAGTGATATATATCTGTTTTGAGTTTCCAGAGAGGAATGTTCTTTTGGGGCATTGGATTCCTCATCCTTCAATGCAGATTTACAGCATCAGGCCAGTTTATTCCATTGCTGCTCTCACCACCCAATATTACAGGTCATTGCTATCTTTATTTTACAATGACGAGTATTCATTCAGTTGACCTAATCTTCCTTTTTCCTCACAAATACAATTCCTCTAAACGTTTACCCTATTCATGAAATCCCCTTGTGGTCTTTTAAGGGGCACATTTACATCCATTTTTTTAGTTTAGTGCGCCGGTCTTTGCTGCTAAGAAACCAAATAAGGGGGGGGGGGGAGGGAACTCATATAATGCAATATTTTATGGTTATCTTAAAGCCCAAGCCAAGTAGTTTCTTGCCTTCTAAGTTTATCTTTCTGAATCCCTATCAAAAGCTGGCTGGGTTAACAGTTTTTACTTGGTATGACAGTCAAAACCGTAATCATCTCTAACATGGAATTTTAATATCCTAAACTCTATTTCTGTTGGATCAGACAAGATGACTTTTTTACTCCATCCAGGTTCATTTCCTCATAGGTCTAATATAATAATATTCTCACAAATGTCATTCGTTAGACAAACGAGCACGCATTGAAATCTCACCAACCCCAGCGGCCTCGTATGTCGGGTGCAAGTAACTGAACGCCAGTTCATTTAGATCAAATCAAAATTAGTGGATTCGTTGAATAATTAATAATAATAATATGGTGTACTAGTCCATCAAAGAAGGTCGTTGCAGAACATCTAATTGATCATAAAGAAAAAGTTAATATTCATAAACAAATACATCTTTAAGTCTATATGCTTGATGATTATTAATTTCTTTTGGGGGCATAATTTAGCTTTAGTTTGATGTGATGCCTTGTGAAAACAACTTCCATTCTGGGTTTCCCTTGCCCGTGAAACTAGGTGCAGTGCTGAAGCAAAAGCCGCATTCTTTCACTTTCATGGGAAATTACTTATGCTTATGCTTATGGTTGTTGAGGTGATCAGAGGAGAAGTTGTAGATTATGGGGAGGAAATTAATGCCCTGAAGCAGTCATGTAGTCAATTATACGGTCATGAAAAATGTATAAAGAATTTTATTTGAATTCAAATTATGTCATTTTTCCAATGCCCTTCTTTAATAGAAAAGCCAGAAACTGAAAAAGCCTAGCTGCTGATCAGCTATATTATTCATTGTACTGTGCTTTTCTGAATATGAACAGAAACACCTTGGGTTTTTTTGCAAGTTGCTGTACAGATTAAACTGAGTCGAGGTGTATTCTCCATCCTTTCAACATGTTTAGTGCGGCTAGCTCTATCCAGCCAGGTAATCCAGATGAATCTGCATCAACATCTCGGTGACGCATTCCAGGCTGAACATTCTGGTCAATTCTTGATGCGAAGCAAAAGTACCCGTTGTTTGCTTCTTTTCAGTTAAATCTGACCCTCTTTTGAGTCTCCTTGGAGCACTTAATATTTACCTACGAATCTGATTTTTAAGCACTGGAATTCATATCAGTTCCCAATAAATCCAGTGTAGCTTGTATTTCCTCTGTACTGGGGTGTGATCCATCACCAGCAATAAAGGAATGAAGTTTTTCACCTACTTGAATCCAACTGCACCCGGGGCTCTTCTTTAAATCTTTTTCTTTCATTGAATCCCTTATTTTGGATACTTCGTCCCACCTTCCTGCAGCAGCATATGCATTTGAAATTGCCACATAATTACCTGAATTATCTGGTTCCAATTCTAGTAAATACTTTGATAACTGCTCCACAAGTTCAATCTCATTATGCTTTCTGCATTTAGCAAGAAGTGTTCCGATTATTTCTGCATCTGGCTCATATGGCATTGTGAGAATAAGCCTGAAAGCTTCATCTACACGTCCTGATTGAGAAAGAAGACTAACTAAACATCCATAATGCTCCATGCTTGGTGAGCAATGATGTTTAGAAACCATGTCAACAAAAGTCTCCAAACCTTCATTTACAAGCCCGGTGTGGGTGCATGCAGATAGGACACTTGTAAATGTTATACCATCCGGTTCTACACCAGCTTCCTCTAGATTTCTAAGCACTGCACGAGCTTCTCCAGCTTGACCATGTAATGCATAAGCAGAAATCATTGCATTATAAACAGGCAATTCCTTGCTTGCGATATTATCAAACACCATCTTTGCTCGACTTAGACATCCACATTTAGCATACATGTCAACTAAAGCTGTTGAAATAGAGATCTGTGAGCCAAGGTCGTGCCTTATAGCGTATCCATGAATTGCTTTCCCATGCTGTAATGATGTCACATTTGTGCAAGCTGAGAGTGCACTGCTGGTGCTTATAGTGTTGGGTTTGATCCCAGATTCTTGCATTTCTTGAAAAATCTTTAGCGCCTCATAGTGAAAACCATTATGAGCCAAACCAGTTAAAAGAGTCGTCCAGGTTATAAGGTTAGGGTGGACACCAAGGGATTGCATCTGCGAGAAGAACTCTTTAGCCTCAGTTACCTGGCGATTCCTAACAAACCCTAGAATCAAAGAATTCCACGATGTTACATTTGGTGTTACACTCTCTAACTGCATCTGATAAAACAACTTCAAGGTCTCACCGCTATGGCCAACTCTGGCATAAGCAGCCAATAATGTGTTCCATAGTATGATATCTTTTTTAGTTGTGGAACAGAATACTTGTACGGCATAATCAATTCTTCCACATTTGGCATACATATCTACAATGCTACTAGCAACAACAACATCAGACTGAAGGCTGTTCCTAATACAATAACCGTGACCCTCTTTTCCAAGCTTTATATTGCTCGAATTGGCAGCAGCAACCAATATAGATGACAGAGTCACACAATCGAATCTCATATTTTCGGATCTCATCAGATGACACATATCGAGTGCCTTATCAGTCAAACCACAATGCAAGTAACTAGAAATGATCAAATTCCAAGTTACTACATCCTTTTCAAGCATCCTATCGAAAACTAGCTCGGCATCCTCAATCAAACAAACTTTGGAATAAAAATTTAGAACAGAACTACCCAAAATGCTGTCAAATTCAAATCCACGTACGACAGCAATGGCATGCCCCTGTTTTCCCTCACCTATTGCACCTAAATTAGCCGAAGCAGATAAAAAGCTCGATATGGATACCTGACTAGGTTCCACACCTTCCACTCTCATATCATGGAACACCCCAATAGCCTGCTCATTCATCCCATTCTGAATGTACCCAACGATCATCGAATTCCAAGCTATTACATTCCTCTCAATCATACCATCAAAAACTTTCCTGGCATCCTCCAAAGCCCCACACTTGCCATACATATCAATCAAACTACTTGCAACAAAGACACACCCATCGAAACCCACCTTCACCACAAACCCGTGAACCCCTTTCCCATACCCAAGCCATAACAAAGCACCACAAGCTTTTAATGCATTAGGGACGACAAAGTTGTCAGGCAATAACCCATTTTCTTGCATCTCATGAAACCCCATTAAAGCCTCTTCATTTAACCCAATTCTACATTTCAGTCCTATAATGGCAGCCCAAGAGAACACATTCTTTACCCTCAACCTACTAAACAGATCATTAGCAATATCAAAAGCACCACACTTTGCGTAAAAAATTACCAACTTTGTCTCAATATACTCATTTCTTGCAAAGAAAGCACCGTTCTTTAGAACTTGAGCATGGAGTTGCTGACCTGTGGAAAGATCTCTTTGATAAACGCAACCCTGAAGGATTTCACCGTATATTTCAGGTCCAGCTGGTATATTTCTGGAGTCCATTTCGGTGAGTAAGTCCACAGCTTGTTGGATTTGGCCATCTTTGCAAAGTGAAGATATGGCGTGAAAGTAAGATTTGTACGAAGTTTGATGATTCGTGGTGGATCCATTGAATTGGGTGAGATGAATCGGTTCGTTTGAATTGAGAGATTTGATTGGTTTTGCTGATTTGAAATGAGAGAAATGCGGGGTTGTGAAATAAAGGGACGCCATGCAAGCAGGCAGTAGTAAAGAAGAGGGAGGATATGGATATTGTAAGGGGAAGCGGGAAGGTTAGTTTTGTCATTAGAAATCAACGAACTCTTTCATTTCACTAAACAAATGGAGAAGATAAGTTTATCCACCAATCTAACTTGTGATGGAATTGAGCCTTGGGCCCACGACGCCTATTTAAAGGTTTTTATTTTTAGTACGGATAAAAATAAATTTTCAATACGGGGAATCCAATACGGAGCAATGGACAGGAAATCCAACCCTTTTTGGTATTAACGATGAGCCGACTATTCAATACGGGCCTATAATTGGACACCGAGACAGGGCCGACTAGCCTGTTGCCTGTGCCTTCATTTTAATCCCGTAGCCCACCGGTTAGAGGTGTGTAAAAAAAAAAAAATGATCTAACCGACCCAATCTATGGATTTGTTGTTTTGATCCAAAAAAATCATATATTTGATCCGGCCTTTAATTTTTTGACATTTTTGAATCGAGTAATATTCGATATCCGAAAATGTAAACTCCCTACCACCGGTCAAGATTTAGCCGCAGAAACAAACTTTTCATCCTTTAACCTTTAAACACAACTCCTTTTAAATTTGAAAATTATATATAACCAAAGTTTTCAATTCTTTTGGTTGTCCTCTCGGTTTTAAGGTTTTATCTTTGACAAATTCAGGCCGAAACTCCAAAGAGTATTTAAACTAAATCCCAAGGTTATGACATGATCTAAGTTGGGTAAGAAATTTTGGAGATTTCATAATTGAAAGGAACTGTATTTTGTGTTGACGCTTGGGAGAATAACAAAATTGATTTGTATTAATTAATAATAAAAAATCCTGTCTTCAACCACACTTTAATTCCTGCCTTTTTAACTCAACCGAAGATATTCTAATTCCATCCACCACTCTCTTGCTGCGGATGCTAATGCCATTTCTTTCTTTTATTTCTCTGTTTTTAATTTATGGTACCATCTAAATAGTTCTTGAAAATGAGTGATGATTGATTTTTTTCAAAATAATACTACTGTTTTTCCGAAAATAAAAACGAGAATAAATAAATTGTTTGAAATACAATTTATGATAATTGTTTGAAAATGAGTGATGATTGAGTTATTTTAAACTCGATTGGCTTGTCGAAATTTTTCTTAATTTTCCAATTTTTTTTATTATCTGGAATTGTATATTTACGGCTCTCATCGTCTAAAAGACGATCAAAACAAATCTAAGAAAATCAGACTTTTAATGCATGAAGATGAGCTTTGCAGGCAGAATCCAGATAATGTAGATCCATACAGCTAGCTGCCAATATATACAGAAACAATAAACAAGTCTCCGATGCTAAAGCAGAGGACGACGAATCTATCCTTAAGTGAATTAGGGGAACAATCCCATTTCCATGATTCCATCTTTTAATAAAAAACAACAAGACCTTGCGGCTTTCCGGAAAGCTTTGAGAGAATTAATGCAGTTCATCGTCGCTGTTTCTTTTTTCATTATTTTCATCAACCATGCTGAACGGAACTTTGAATTCTTCTCTCGAATCGTACTCATAGCGCACGAAGAATGGAATTTTATACTGGTGATCTTCTTCCTATTATATTCCAATTTCCAAGTATCTGAACTCCACTGTAGATTCCGACTGATTAGATTGTTTATTTAAATGAGTAGTCATCGGCATCAATTAGGTCTTCTTCTTGTTTTCATAAAAGGAAAACAATAAACTTTTATCAGGATTACTGACTTATTGAGTCCCTTAATTAATTTTAATACCCCTTTTTATTTTATTAATATAGTTTTAAGCTTTGTTTATTCCCAAGTACCCAATTGGAAACTTTGCCTTTGAAGTGAACCTTTTCTCCAAAAAAATATATATATATAGCGGTCCTAATTGTATGATAAAAAGTAGGGGATAGGCTGTTTCCCAATTAATACAACAAAGAAACCAAACCCATACCATTTGAGTCTCCAACTTCACAACCAATGCATCTTCATCTTCATTTCAACAAGTATTTAACTTATTATATACTATATAGTAACATGCCACAAGTGATACAAAAGTAAAGATTAAAAGGATAAAGACACACACTGCTATGCTCTTTTTTTTATCTTCTGCGTATTAAAGTACTTTATTTTTTGGTTTATTCTTTTCAATAAATATTATTAATTACATTTTTTTGTTGCATTTTGCAGTTGCAAAATTGGGTATTATTATAAGTTAGGAATATCAATATTTATTGAGAGACGCTTAGAAAGAAAGGGTGGGGTTTACAATAATTGTAATTATGATATAGAAATGCATAAAACAGCAGACAAAAGGGATATTCAGAAGGAATATTAGCGACACTTGTCACGTGGAGAATCTCCTTTCCTTTCCTTTTACTTTTTATTTCTTTTTCCCATGGAAACGTTAACGATAGAAGAGAAAAGGCATGGGTTGGAGTGGAGTCTTGTACCACAAGACACACTCTTCCTTTGGATTTTTTAGAAAGAGACTGTCCGACTATCCTAACCCTAAACCCATCATTATAATTAAGCTTACAATTAAAATAAGTGTCAATTTCGTAAATAGATGCTTAAATTAATTTTTGATTTATTTAGATATTTAGTGTTACTAATGTTATCACTTAAAGTGCCGACCGTAACAATAATTATAAAACTCCATTAAGTAACACGTGTCATAATCTTAAATTTTTTTAAAAATTATTTTCTTAAAAAATAAAAATATTACTAAAAAAATAAAATAATAATAATAAACCCCAACCCGTTGCACCCCTCCCCTTTCCCTCCACTCCCCTACAATGCTCGTGATTTCATTTTCTATAGTCAAACGACCGACCAAATGGTTAAGGGGCCCTATTGCAACAACCTGATAAAAGGTCAATTATCACGATCGATCAAAGAGATTTAAAAGATTAGGTATTTTAGGGGTAAGAGATTTGAAAATTTTGAGTTTTGAGATGATAGCAAATGTTATGTCCGGTCGATGGCGGATAGATAGTTGGAGATGATCGACAGTTGAAGTAAAGAGTACAAGAATAAAAATTTTAGAGAGTTTGGTTATACATACATACATATATATAAGAAAAAATTGGGGGTTTTAAAAAAATATTTGTAAGTTTTTTTTTAAAATAAATTTCTAAAATTACTAGATTATGACACGTGTCACTTAACGGGCTCTTTTAACGGCCGAAGTACCTAAAATGATAATGTTTGTAACGTTAGACACTTGGAAGATTCAAAAAATAGTTTAAGCACCTATTCCTGAGAAGCGGTATGAACACTTATTTTAGTATTAATCCATGTAATTACAACCTTTTTCTCTTTTTGCTGCCAAGGGAATTCGATGCATGCAGCAGCAGTCTTTCTTACTCTATCAACTTTCCTTTTACTTAGATATAAAGAAAAAGGATTTCTTATACCCATTGATCAACTCATATTATATTTCCTTTCTCTTGCTTATTCCGGATCTTTTGTGGACTGTGGTTTCCATCCATATGATACCCTCCCCTCTCCCTCTCACATCGCTGCATGCATGCATGGCATCATGTTACTATACAATTAATTAATGAGAATAAGAGTTTCATCGATCCGGTTTAAGAAATTACTATTCAATATGACACATATAACGTATATACTCAATAAAGTTATAGTTACATATCTACTTTTGACCTTTTACAATATATTTACATTAGCTGCCAAGAAAAGTGAAGCAACCAAATATTCCTTCCTTAGCCCCCATTTATTATATTCTTTCGCCATGAATGTCTCGTTTTTCAGATTAGATATTCCCCTCTGTGTTCATTTGCACTCAATATTAGGCCGATATGTAACCTTTTTAAACCACAAAGAAAGTTGCATACTCGCATTGCTGGATTCATACTTCTCATGTTCGTTCTCCCCCATCTCTCTCTCTCTCTCTCTTCAATATGGTTGGTTAAAAAATTACTAAAAAAATAAGGATATAATTTTTTTAAAATAATTTGAATGATATCTTTTCAAAATATTTCTTAATTAAACTTATTTTTTAATAAGAAATAATATTTTATTTTATTAATAAGATCGCTCAATGAATTCGAATGAAATTAAGTATAAACAAGATCAAATATAAGTTCTTTCTTTTTTTCTTCTTTGATAAAGTAGGATAAGAATCAAAGGTTATTAGATAATAAGTGACAAATTAAAAAAATTAAAGTGCAAAAATAGTATTAAGAGGAGCCATCTTTTGTACATGGTGGTATTGAATATGATACACAGATTAAACACATGATCCTTTTGCTGTCAGACCACCTTGATTCTCTTCTCTCTCATGTTTTTTTCTTTATGCTTTTTTTTGCAAGAAGTAACCATACCCCTGTGCTTTCTCCCCTTCTCTTAACTATCTTTTTCCATCTCTCTCTAAAAACCCTATTCCCCCCCCCCCCCCCCAAAAAAAAAAAACAACACGAATCCTCCTTGTGTTCACAACACAACATAACTTCCCTTTCTCCCCTTCTCTCAAACCACACTGCTCTCGGTCCTGTCTCTGTTTTGTTTGTTTGTTTTTGCATACAAACAAATCTTATCGTTTGTTGCTATTATAGCATGACCGATATCCTTCCAAAACAACAACTTTTCCTGAGAAAAAAAACCAAATATCAGTTTCTTCTTGTTTTATAAAACCCTAAAGAAAAAAGACCATGGCATCGCCTTCTGGACTTACCCTTGACTGCAAACCCCACAGTTATTCTATGCTGTTGAAATCATTTGGAGATCAGCAGGTTGATCAAACCCAGAAGCTTGAAGATTTCCTTTCTCGTCTCGAGGAAGAACGCCTTAAGATCGATGCTTTCAAGCGTGAGCTTCCCTATTGCATGCAACTTCTCACCAATGGTAAATATCATAACTTGTATTTTCTTACTAAATGATTCATCTTCATTAGTAAACACACAAAGAAATTACAAATAGATAGTATTTTCTAATTAGCTACTGGTGGATATTCATGTTCTTTCGGCTGAGGTGTTAGTTTCCAAGCTCCTACCTTTTTGTTTTGTAGAAGTTAGAGCTCGCTTTCTTTTTGTTAGTTCAATATCTTTGAATTTAAAGGGTCCTGACCTTTGCATACATTTTCTAAAGAACTAAAAGCATTTGTTTATACTTTTTTTTGGGTTCAGCTGTGGACTGTGGAAGCTTCAAGGCAGCAGCTACATGCATGCCGAGCGAATCAAGGATCAAGGGCGGTTCTTGAAGAATTCATGCCCCTAAAAAACTCCAGCTCCGAGAACTCAGACATATCGCAAAACATATCAGATAAAGCAAACTGGATGACGAGTGCACAATTATGGAGCCAAGAGGGAAACAAAACGAAACCACAACCCACAATCACATCCCCTGAAGAAACCGATATTGGTTTTAATGTTACTCCCAAGCTGGCCTTAGATACCAAGCAGAGAAATGGAGGAGCTTTCCTTCCATTCTCCAAAGACCCAAACTCGTGCCCTGGTTCGACTTTACACGCTCTTCCGGAGCTAGCTCTTACATCTGTCGATAATGATATGGAAGACAAGAAATGCTTGAGTGATAGTGATTGTCAACGGAGAGAGAACACTGGCAAAGAAACCATGCCTAACGCAGCTGATGTGCAAACAACCAATAATAACGCTACTACAAATGGTAGTCAACCTCATAGGAAGGCTAGGCGGTGCTGGTCACCTGATATGCGTAGGAGATTTGTCAATTCTCTCCAGATGCTTGGAGGTTCTCAAGGTATCCATCAAGTTTACTTGTTTTGATTTGATCGTTGTTGAAAAATAATACCACTGAATTGACTCAATATAAAAAATCATTGGTTCTGATGGTGATGATTACACGCAGCTGCCTCACCAAAACAGATAAGGGAGCAGATGAAGGTTGAAGGTTTGACCAATGATGAAGTGAAAATTCATCTACAGGTAACTGAGAGCACTTGTACTAAACCAGATACAGTACAACACTACAAAAAATTACCGATAAGACTCCTTGGATCTTGTGGTAACAATTTTCCTTTACATTTTTTAAATACAGAAATATAGGCTGCATACGAGGAGACCAAGCCCAAGTCCGCAAGCGCCAGGAGCCCCAACACAGCAGGTTGTAGTCCTTGGTGGTATCTGGGTTCCTCCAGAGTATGCCACTGCCGCAGCAGCCGCTCACGGTGGGGCATCCACTCTTTATGGCGCTCACCACCCGGTTGCTTCCCATGCACCTCCTCACTACTGTGCATCACCTGTGACCCAAGAATTCTACACTACGGCGGCCTCTGGAACACCAGTTCTAAATCCTCCCCAGCTGCACCACCACACCCTCCAGCATCAACTCCACATGTTCAAGGCCACCTCACAGGCCCATAGCCTACCGGAGCCCTACCTGAGGGGAGGAGGAGACCGATCCGAGAGCATTGAGGATGGGAAATCTGAGAGCAGCAGCTGGATAAGTAAAAAAATACACTGCTTGCTGCGCACAGGTGTCTAAAACGAATCCCTTGAAGTAATATTCTTGCAGAAAATGTGTACAATGTTATGTCATTACCTTTCAAATTTAGTCTTTTTAGCAACTTTGTGTGGAACTAACCTATAAACTGTCAAGATCAGATGATTAAGGAGAAAGAAGAAATGAACTGAAGAAGGAGAAGAAGGCTAAGGAACAGATGTAAAACGGCTAGGGTCAGCAAGTAGAAAGATCAAGAAAAGTAAAATTGGATAACAGATGTAAAATTGACTCTTAACAACCATATAACAGCAGTTAACCAAACTTAATAACAAATCAGTTAGCTCCTCATCCTAAAACTTTGTGATCTCTCTCTCTCTCGTCTTTTGGTGCAGCAATCCCTTTCTCTTTTTTTCCTTTCCTTTTCCTCTCATTTTCTAGTGCTCTCATTCTAAAGGGTTCCATGAATCAGAAGAAATCACCCCAAATGATCATCGAAAGTGGGGAAAGATTTGAAGATGACAAGAAGAGTTTTGCAAGGAGAAATGGAAGAAGAAGAGGCCGATGGCAAAAATTAGATAGGCTACAAGATGGGAAGCTTGAGCCAAGCACCCCATGCAAGAGTCTTATGTTCCATAGAAGGCCAGGCTATGGCATTCTGGGAACCAAGTGTATCGTTAAAGCCAACCATTTTCTTCTTGAGATACCAGGATCTGACTTGAGTCATTATAGAGTAAGTAAAATATACAATACTACAGTAAACTAGGTTGAATTCGAAATGCTGAGACTGAAATATGAGAATTATAAATTTATAATTGTTGTGTAATGTTTCTTGGAACAGGTAGAAATAAACCCAGAAGTTGCTTCTCGTCAACTGGACAAATCTATAATGAAAGAGCTGGTTAAACTTTATAGAAACAGTGACATGGGGTTGAAGCTTCCTGTTTATGATGGAAGGGAAAACCTATATACCGCCGGATCGCTGCCTTTTACCTCTAAGGAATTCAATGTAATATTGACCGAGGAAGATGAAGAAACAAGCAATGCTAGGTAACTCATTCATGAAAACTGTTTCATACTACTTGTGTCCTTAATCCAATTTATCAGTTTTCAAGCTACTGAGAATTTTGGTGCAAATATGGCCGTTTAATCAGGAAAAGAGAATTTAAAGTGACTATAAAGTTTGTAGCTGTCGCTAGTATGCCACAGTTGTGCAACCTTCTATCTGAGAAACAAGTTGACACCCCTCAAGGAGCCCTTAAAATTCTTGATACGGTGTTAAGAGAACTCCCGTCTCAAAGGTAGCAATCTTATTTGTTTCAACTTGTTTTTGGGGTTCACTCTTGGCATTGGTTACTCTTCGATTAATTTGATGAGTGCAGGTACTTATCAGTTGGAAGGTGCCTCTATTCTCCTGATATAAAAAAACCACGGGCATTAGGTGGTGGCCTAGAATCAAGGGGTGGCTTCTACCAGAGTATAAGGCCTACTCAGATGGGATTGTCACTGAATATTGGTAAAAACACCCTGCTAAACATTTTCATTTGGTTGACTCATTGCTTTATCAGCCGATCGTTACCAGTAATATCAGATTTTGTGTCAGATATGTCGACGACTGCCTTCATTGAACCACTGTCTGTAATTGATTTTGTTGCTCAAATTTTGGGTAAAGATGTTTGTTCAAGGCCAATGTCAGGTTCAGATCGTGTTAAGGTATATTATGGCTCTTGGTGGTCCCACTATTTGATATGCTATATATATTATCACAATCGGTATTCATGGAAAATCATACACAGGTCCTGTATTTTTCACATTGAAACACTGTAGTATTTATAACACAATTCGCAAAACTAAATGACTTGTGAAAAATCTGGTTTTGCTGATCTGGATTCAGTTATGGCTTACAACAAGAAAACAACATCATGTCTAATACTGATGACTGCTACAGCAGCATTTCCCGGTTTCTTCTAACTTTCAAGAAAACAATTTGATACTTTGAAACCACATTAACATGTAAGTTTAAATCAATCCTTCGCTAAGACTTGCAAACTAAACTTTTTGGCCATGTTCTATAGGTTAAAAAAGCACTTAGAGGTGTAAAAGTGGAAGTGACTCACAGAGTAAATTTTCACAGGAAATACCGAATTTCAGGCTTAACAACTCAGCCAACAAGGGAGCTAATGTTTGTCCATATATATTTCTTGAACTTTACCTCCCATTTCTTAGATTTGGAAGTTTTCCTTCTTTTCTTCCAGACATTTTCCTGGAAAATTAACTTTTATGGTTTCCATTCATCAGTTTCCCACTCGACAACCATATGAACATGAAATCAGTTGATGACTGTTGGGAAATAAACTGTATACGAGTAATTTCCATATAACTAGATTAGTGAGAATGCGAAATAAAAACGAAAAAATAATACTTGAAATTGATAACGGAGTTCAGTCAATTGTGCCTACGTCTTCGGACTGCTGCAGATCTTTTATTAAGAGTGAAAATTTACAAGTGTTTACAAAACACTCACCACTCACAAGAAAACTCTCTAATATTAGGAAAAAGAAATGATTTTGGGATAATTTTGAAGTTAAATGAGCTAGGGTATTTATAGTTAAAGCTTAGGGACTAATCTTTGAAAATACCCTAAAATCCAATGACTAAAGTATAATTAACCTATTTAAATTTTCAACAAAATTATACCAAACTTTGAACCAAGCATAATCGTTGCCAAACTTTGTTGAAACAAGCATACTCGGCGGTGCCAAACTTTGATTTTAATTTGGTGCATTGCTTGACTTTCAACATTGACTACTTTCAAGAGAAGTATGGATATGCCATTAGATATGCACACTTACCTTGCCTTCAAGTAGGAAATGAGAAGGAGAAGTATTTCCCCATGGAGGTATGCATATTCCAGTTCTCTTTAAGCTTTGCATGAAGCATTTATAGTTCCATCCGGAGTAATGTATATCTTATCACAGGCTTGCAAGATAGTTGGAGGACAGAGATACACGAAAGGGTTGAATAGGGAACAGATTATTTCTCTGCTGAAAATTTCATGCCAAAGACCCCACGAACAAGAATTGGACATCTTACAGGTCCTAAACATAGTTCCTTGGAGTATTTGCTGTCTTTTTCATATAAACAGATGCATATGAAACTGATAGGATGTAAAGGCTACCATTAGTCATATATTTCTTTTGAAATCATCGGTCTATGCCGATATAATATCCATCTTTCCATCCTTTGTTGTATCATACTCGTATGAAACAAATTGAAAAGTGCACGTTTTCTTTAGCTCAGATACGGATTTAACCTAACTGTTATTTGGTGTCTTTACAGACAGTTCAACTGAATGCTCATGATCATTATCCTTATGCAAAAGAGTTTAGCATTAATATAGCCGGCAAGCTTGCATCGATTGAGGCTCGGGTTCTTCCTGCTCCATGGGTAATGCTGAAATCACTCTTTAGTCATTTCCCCCCTCTGTACGGTCACTGTCAATCCTTTAAAGGATCTATTTGATTCAGCTTCTATCTGTTAACAATTTGTTGGTTTTATCCTCTTTTCTTTTAAAGCTAAAGTATAGCTACACTGGAAAAGAAAAAGAATATTTGCCCCAATTTGATCAGTGGAATATGATGAACAAGGTTAGCCTATATAAAAGGGTGAAAGAATACCAAGACTTTCAGCAGTAATGGCATGTCATTATATATCAACTGCATGTTACTTTTATTTTAAAGAAAGGCAATTCTTTGTTGGCGTGGTGCAGAAAGTGATAAATGGAAGCACTGTGACATACTGGGCTTGTATCATCTTCTCCCGAAGTGTTCAAGAAAGAATTGCATCTGGTTTTTGTCAGGAGTTGGTTCAAGTGTGCCAAATGTCCGGCATGGTGAATTCTGTCGTATGATTTATCTCTACAACTTCTTTGAACGGACACCCTTCAGTTTGATCAATTGGTTTGCCAAATACAGGGATTCAATTGAGACCCTGAGATTCCAATATATTCAGCAAGGCCGGATCAAGTTATGAACGCGTTGAGATATGTATATCATGCTGCAGCAAACAAACTTGAAGGAAAAGAACTGGAATTACTCATCGCCATTCTTCCAGACAACAATGGTTCCTTATATGGTATGCCCCTTCTTGAAACTATATACACTGTTTGAATAAATCATCTTTTGCTGCACGTGAATGTAGAGAATTAACATTTTGAGCATTAAGTTTTACACACCATTCTCATTCACTCGGTTTAAACCGATGCCCTCTAGGCTCCTGCTGTTGTCTACACTAAGAACAATTTGTCCTGCATTCAGGTGACCTTAAACGAATTTATGAAACTGATTTGGGTTTGATTTCTCAATGCTGCCTCACAAAGCACGTCTTCAAGATTAACAGACAATACTTGGCAAATCTCTCGCTTAAAATAAACGTCAAGGTCTGTCATAAATTATACAATCTACTGTCTTAATTAAGCATGATATTTATTCTGCTTTTCATGATTTTTAAGATGGGGGGAAGAAACAACGTGCTCTTAGACGCTTTAAGTTGGAGAATTCCTTTGGTTAATGATACCCCAACGATAATATTTGGAGCTGATGTAACCCATCCGGCGTCTGGAGAGGACTGTAGTCCATCGATAGCTGCTGTAAGTAAGTGAAATCCTGTATATTAAAAGCCTGATAATAAGTCCACACCTTACCCTTAATGTTTGCTGAAATACAGGTTGTGGCCTCACAAGACTGGCCGGAAGTGACAAAGTATGCTGGCCTGGTATGTGCTCAGTCTCATAGGCAAGAACTTATTCAAGATCTATTCAAGACCTGGCAGGATCCACAGCGAGTAACAGTTGCAGGAGGCATGATCAGGTTTGTTCATTTAAGATTTTATCAGCACGATCACTCTCTAAATACATATTACACATTTACATGGTTTTATCATATCCATCTTATATATATGTCGGCATGGAATGAAGAGTCAAAGCACCATAATCTGCAGCATTTGTTTGATTTCCAGAGAGAGCAACTACAAGTATACTGAAGTCAATTTATTAACTTCATGGAAATGCAGGGAGCTCTTACTTGCATTCAACACTGCCACCGGACAAAAGCCGCTGAGGATAATCTTTTACAGGTACACTCCGTGATGATTAAAAAGAGCATCTTGATAAGTTCAAGGTTTTCTAATGTTGTTCAAAAATTGT